CGGCTCCATGCTCCCTTGTCATGAGGTGACGAGGAAGCATGAAGCCGGCTTCCCAGCCAATCAGAAAGCTGGGCGCCGTATCATTACACGGCGCCTGGCTTCCTGATTGGCCAGCTTCCTGACCAATCAGGAAGCCGAGCAGTGTGTCATTACAGAGGTCTTAGTTGCATACAGTTGCAAATATATGCAAGGCCGCATTGACTAACTAAGGCCCCTGGGTGAAGTGTGGTCCCTAATTTTACAGAGCTCCCATCATGGGACATAAAGAGTTGAATACATTTTCAACAGGTTTGCCTGTTAGGTTAAAAAGTGAAAATCTAGCTGTGCTTTCCGGTGAATACATAGTTTGCATTTGTATCTCAAATACTGTATGCAAATAAATTGTACAGATTATACACACATTCTATATACTGTAATAAAAGGAGAAAATCAGAGTGATGATTGAATGTGGGTAATGTGCTTATATTATAATAACTGGGTAATTATTCTGCACAAGAAGCTTACAGTGATAATGAGTCAAACAAGGTCTTTAAAGGAGAACTTTGGGGTCAGGGCTTTTCCCCATAGTTCTCCTAAGGGTCACGGGAGAACACAAACTAGCGTTCTCCCGTCACCCAAAGCTCAGTATACCGCGAGCTACAGCTCGCGGTATACTGAGATGTCGCAGCCGGAACGGATCCCGACATTGCTGTCGAGAGCCACCCAGCTGCGTGATTGACAGCTGGCTCTGCCTATCCAGAGGCATAGCCAGCTGTGCCCGCCCCCTCCCCCGTCTGTTCCGCCGGTCAGCGCTGGAGGATCGTACAGGGGAGGGGGGAATCCCTGCATGGAGCCGTGAGTGACAGTCACGGCTCTCTGCAGGGATAGATCGAGAATTGAGTGAGCGGCGGTATGTGTTCGCTCACCTCCCGATCTACTGAGCCGACCTGTGACAGTTTCATTGTCACAGGTAGGCTCAGATTATGAGGCTGAGTGAAAATCACTCGCCTCATAATTCTCATTTTAATGGATAACGCTTTAAATAACAATTCATGTTCTATTTCTTTTATTTCTTTATTCACCAGTATGCCATACTTATGACCATGATCCTCACCGTGTTCATAAAATACATCCTGCACTCTGTGGACCTGCAGAGTGAGAACCCATGGGATAACAAAGCCGTCTACATGTTATACACTGAACTTCTGACAGGTACATCCTACAATTGTGCTGTTGAGATGGATGAAGTTGATTCTGCCTTAGCTCTGGAGTCATATTTTTAGTAAGAATTGGTTGACTGTTTGTTTGCATTCCACCAGAGGATGGTTGTGTTCCACAATGCAGTAACCACAATGTAGGATACACCATATCAATAGACAGTATTGGTGAGATATCTGCACTTGAGTTCTGCGGTTTGATCACCTGGTGTGGCCATTGTTAAGGGCCATACTTTCCTTGTTGGATATTTTTGGTTTTGAAGATTTGATAGAAGATTAGACAACACCAAAACAAGAACAGATCAGGAAATTGTGGCAGGATGCAAAGCTGGATTTTCCACAAGGCAGCTTCGGAAGGAGCATAGAACCCAGTGGATGTCCATGGGACCTAGCTTAAACCGTCATGCTCTTGCAGTAAATCAGGGTATAGTGCTCAGAGCTGGACTATCCACAAGGCAACCTAGGCAGGATCATAGGACCCAGTGGATGTCTATGGGACACAGCTACAATCTCCATGCTCTTGCAGTAAACCGGGGGATAGTGCTTAAGTCTGGATTATTGACAAGGCAACCTAGGCAAGAGAAAAGGATCCCGTGGATATTCATGTAACCCAGCTATAATCTTCATGCTTTTGCAGTAAACTAGGGCATAGTGTTCAGACCCAGAATATCCACAAGGCAACCTAGGCAGGAGCATAGGGCTCATCGGATCCACTTGTAGGCAGTTGGTGTTAGATGGGGCTGTTCCATGTTTGTTGCAATCTGTATTAATGTCAAATAAAGGGATAGGAGGACCAAAGCTGCTTCCTAGCCAAGGCACTCATTCTGCAATAATCTGTCTCTGGCAGGAAGATCTCCCTACAGTAGTATCTATAGTGTAAGAAACTAGGGGCTGCCTTAGGCCACAAGTTCCCACAAGGTGGTATAACCTAAATATCATCTTTGGGTGGTCTGACCCTTTAATAGGTAAGCACTAGTGTCCCTACATTCGCTTAAGCTTGTTTGCCATGACCGCTCAAAAAGCAATTTTCACTGTGCATTCATAAATGAGATTATAATCTGTAGTGTGATCACAGCTGCATTCTGAAGGAAGCTCGGCTTGCCACATGAAATGTAAAGTACACACGACTGCAATGTCTTATTCATTTCAACAAGTGCATAAAACCTGCTGCTTGCTACATGGCAGAAACCTTGGAAATGCCATTAGGGAAAAAAACTGTTCACATGGATGACAAGTGAAACTGCAGGAAAATCATATTTTTTTTTTCTTTCTTCATTGCAGGGTTTATTAAAGTTTTGCTGTACATGGCTTTCATGACAATCATGGTCAAAGTCCACACATTTCCTTTGTTTGCAATTCGTCCAATGTATCTTGCAATGAGGTAAGATAATAGTGAATAATTCTGAAAGGAACTGCCAGGCTTCATCTGAAATTCTGACTCTTCTAGATGAAGCAACCACAACATAGTCCTTATAGTGGAGACTTGAGAATATATGAACTATTGTTTAGATCAACTTTAATAAGGGAGCTTCTACTTTCATTGCAATAAAAAAGGGGAATGGTCGGTTATCCTTTCTCAATCGAAAATATACACTGCTTCAGTTTTCACATTTCAGGGTTAAAGCCTGTAAAAATGAAAAAAAAATGACCTTATCGCCAGCATCCACCCAAGTGGGGGTGACATTACAATCCTGGTGAGATCCTAGGAACTTGGAGGATTCCAAATCTCATGAGAAGATGCTTCTGTGCGTGTTTTTTCTCTGCATTAACTCTGCAAACTTTGGCTGAAAGTGGAAGCTCATTATTAATGTGGATCTAAACCCCAATCCCTCTACTTTCCTGTAACACAAAATTAGGATGCATCTCTGTGCAATACTTAAGCTGTCTGTAGCTCTTGGCTCCCTTTTAGCTGCTGGAATCTAAATATGACCATGGTGCTAGGTTATAGGGTGATGTTTAGCAAAGTCGGCCAATATGTTGCTCTCATTGAAAACAGATGCTGCTCTTTGACAGAGAGCACATGACACTCTGTGTTTGATTGCTGGTAGCTGGTTGGAGTCCTGAGCTGTAGACTGTAGGTATTAAGCAGCGTTTATTGGTTTAGGTTCTATGACATTGGGGAATGCCTTAATTGGGTCAATGTCAGATAGTGTTTATATCTGTTTTAAAACCAGACCATCCAGTCTTACACATGCCATTAAAGGGAATGTAACACTAGAACATCCCCTGTGTATAGAAATCCCTAATTGGAGCTGGTCTAATAAACAGGTTTATACATTTGGAGTATACATAAGTATCAAATTTTATAGTAACAGAATAAACACATAGAAACACCTTCAACAAGACATTTAAAAACAATTAAAATGACTTCCCTTAGGATAACCCGGTAAGTATGGTAGTCTGAGCGGCAGATAGTCACTGGTGCAAGCACAATGGCCACAATCAAATGTGGATACTTAGTATCTGAGCTTACTCACGTCACTTCTGATTCAAAGTGGTGGACAGTCCTCGTAGAATCCTGTGTTGATGTGTAATTTACAATGGAGCGAGTCTGCTCAGTAGCATTTCCAGCCACTAATCTGAGCTCACACTTGCCCGCGGGGTTTAGTTTCCAAACCGTGGGAGGGAATGCATAGTGTTTTTGTACATATTTTCTTTCCTTATTATAGTCAGGGCTAAAAAAAAAAAGTAAAAAATATTTGTTTCTTCAATTCATGTATTTTACATATAATATATACGTGTAATATTATTATAGTCTTCTATCCAAAAACCAAATGTAGCTCTAAACTACATTTCGTATGTTGTACAGATTCTCTTAATTTTTTTTGTTGTAACATCATGTTGTTTAGAGAGAGCAATAGCTCAAGATGGAGTAGTCCTAGGATGGGTGACTCATCCTTTTATCAGTTGGCGCTGTTTAATATTTCAGTCAGATGTTAGCTGAAAAGGAGGGAGCTGTTCTGTGCTCTTTAGCTAACGCTTGTTGAAATATATTGGCATGTATTACAGTGATGGACAACAATCTCAATACAAATTAGTAGGGATGCACCGATATATCGGCCAAAAATGCCGAAGTGCCATTTTTCTGCTGAAATAGTGGTGCATCCGTTCTTTCTCTCCTCCCCGCTTGGCACTGCTCTGTGTCCCAGCGGGGAGGAGAGAAACTGTCACAGGTGGCCGAGCACTGCGGGAGGAGAGCCCTGTGAGCGGCCGGCGTCTCTCCGCCCCGCACCGCTCAGCCTCCTGTCCCAGATCGGGAGAGCGGTGTGGGCGTAGACAGCCAGTGCTGTCACAGGAGGCCGGCTGGTGGTGCGGGGGAGGACTCAGCTGTCAGATCGAGCTCTCCTCCCTGCACCGCTCGCTCAGCCTCCTGTAACAGCGTGTCAGGAAGGAGAGCAGTACAAAACACTCAGTGATCGCTGAGTGTTTGCGCATAATTGAGGACAGAGTATGTTTAATGTGTCCTCAATTATGAATGAATGGGAAGTGATCTACATCACCTCCTGTTCATTCAGGATTGTGGATATAGTAAACGCACTATGTTCTCATGTTATGAATGAAAAAGAACACTCAGTATAGAGGCTTCCTGTTCATTCATAACAGGGGCTGCAGAAAGAGATTGAGGGCTTTGTGTTCTCAGTCTCTTTTTTTTCTATTTTAAAAGGGAAATATCAGGGGTCTGTTTAGACCCCTTATTTTTTCCCTTAAGCCCCTAAAAGTAAGGTCTGCTACTGCTAGCAAGCAGTAGATATATGCAAAAAGTGTAAAAAAAAAAAAAAAAAAACCCCTCTTTAACCACTTGCTGACCAGGGTGTTTACACCCCCTTCCTGTCCAGGCCACTTTTCAGTGTTCAGCGCTGCGGTACTTTGACTGACATGTATTCCGTCATGCAACGCTTTACTGAAATTAATTTTATACCATTTTTTGGGGACAGATGGAGCTTTCTTTTGGTGGCATTTAATTACCACTGGGGTTTTTATTTTTTACTATATAATGAAAAAAGTACAGAAAATTTGGGGGAAAAAAACTGTTTTTCCTACGTTATGTTATAAAACAGTTATTATTACCCACATTTTTGGCGAAACAAAAGTCGGGGTCACGTCGGGTATATAGACACCAAACGTGTTAAGCTTTAAAATTGCGTGCGTCCGCGAACTTGCAAAAACTACCATAACCAAAATTGGCCATAGGCGACGCTTTAAAAGCTTTTACCGCTCATCAATTTAGTGTTATCAGTGATTGATGGCCCTATAATTATTGCTCTCACTCCGAAGTTTGCGGCGATACATAACATGTGCGGCGTAATGGATGCAATCATCGTTTACGCACTTAGGCGCACTCGACGCATGTTTATGTGGGGGGTGGGGGACTTAAAAGTTTACTTTTTTTATTACCTTTTTATATGCGACTTAATTATTTAATTTTTTTTGTAACTAATTCTTTAAACATTTTTTTTGTCACTTAACTTTATTGCTATCACATAGGGGACTAACAAGCCCACTTTCTAAAAGCCAATTTTTAGTGACAGGTCCTCTTTTTATGGAGACATCAGGGGTCTTTAAGACCCCTGATGTCACCTAGGGACCCCCAGAGAAGCTGATGAAGCAAACACATGCTTCACCAGCATCTCTTCGGTTTCTGTACCGGAGAGTGACACTGAATGCAGGCAGTGATGTAATACCCATCACTGCCTGCATTCAGAAGAGGAGGAGGAGGAGGAGGAGATCAAACGGAGCTCGTGTACTGAGCTCCGTTTGATCTCCGGCCGCAGAGCTGCTGTGCTGGTCCCGGGCTCGCACCGGGCATAGCAGAGCTCGGGATTGCCAGCTGTGGCGGAGGGGGGCGAACACCCGCACGCTTATTGCAAGCGATCGGGCATCTCTACAGACGCCCGTAACATAGTCCATGGTCCCATCGCACTCCTGACCGCGTGAATACCTTCAAGAATTGGGTGCTGTGGTAGTCAACAGGTGGCAGTATTTAATGCCCATCCCTGCCTGCATTCAGAAGAGGAGGAGGAGGAGGAGGAGATCAAACGGAGCTCGTGTACTGAGCTCCGTTTGATCTCCGGCCGCAGAGCTGCTGTGCTGGTCCCGGGCTCGCACCGGGCATAGCAGAGCTCGGGATTGCCAGCTGTGGCGGAGGGGGGCGAACACCCGCACGCTTATTGCAAGCGATCGGGCATCTCTACAGACGCCCGTAACATAGTCCATGGTCCCATCGCACTCCTGACCGCGTGAATACCTTCAAGAATTGGGTGCTGTGGTAGTCAACAGGTGGCAGCCGTCTCAATAAATAGACGTATTTTGCAAATTTGGAGTGCTGGTGTCTCTGCTTTAGCTCTACAGACGCCCGAACGCTTGTATGTAAACAGCCATTGCTGGCTGTTTACATTGGAGGCTGAATTCCCGCTCGGCGGGTATGAGCGGGACGGCATGGGACGTTTAAAAACGCCCACCCGCATTCAAGAAGCCGCTGTCCGGCCGTTTAATTACAACGGCCGGACAGCAGGTGGTTAAAAGAGGTTAATACTTACCTGTGTCTTCCCCGCGCAATTCCGTCCGAAAATGTGAAAATTCTCGGGCGGCCGCAAAGCATCTTGGGGCGGGCACATGCGCAGTTCACATTTTCGGCCGGGAGACGAGGAGAGACACAAGGTAAGTCTATAGACGGCATGCAGACACTGTGGGAGAGGAAGTGCCAGCAAGCAGAGAGGAGTCAGCGCTGGATCGGAGACCTGCACCAGCGCTGGAGGGACAGATGAAAACTACAGGAAAGAAGAGGAAGATCGGATTAAGAGACATAATTTAAGGTAAGTGCTTTAATTAACATTGGGGGGATGGAAAAACATTTTTGACTTTAATATCACTTTAAGATTTATCTCCTGAGCTTATTGTCACTTCAAATAAATATTGTAAAAAAAAAAAAAACAGCCTGTTTAAAAAAAAGTCTTAAGTATATGGGTTATTTTTCATATTTGTTTTAACACCCATACAGACAGTTTAAGAAGGCTGTGACAGATGCCATCATGTCAAGAAGAGCCATCCGCAATATGAACACACTGTAAGTAATGATGGAGTAGACAGAGGCTTGGATTAAAGGATTATTTGATGGATGGTGGAAAGTGAACTGTTTGCTTTGCATGTCACATTTAGGTATCCTGATGCTACTCCAGAAGAGCTCCAAGCGATGGATAATGTGTGTATCATCTGCAGAGAGGAGATGGTGACAGGAGCAAAGAGACTACCATGTAACCACATATTCCACACAAGGTAGGATGTGTGTAAAAATGTTTAAACAATAAATCCTAGTGGGTTTAAAACCACCATAGAAAATTAGAGTATTACCCTGCTGTAATTGCTAACCCTCCACCACTATTAGTAAATATCTACACTTAAGGCCTCTTTCCTCTCCCCGTAGCATACAAATCTGAATACAGTGGGCCCTCACTGCCCTTGGTTGATGAAGGGTACCTCAACCCCCTTTTCAGGAATACAGAGCTGTCCTGTGTTATCGCAAAGACCCTCCTAGTTCTTTTTATGGACTTCAGAACAATTAGAGGGTTATTCACAAAAGGGTGAAGTTTGACTTACAGTTGGGTTGTGGAGGATTGATTGGAGTTTGTTGTGCAGGAGCAGCATGTGGATGCTGAGCAGGATCGGGCTGGTAAACAATGGAGGACAACATAGCTGAACTGGAAAGTGAGAAGAATTGGAGAATTTTTCCAAATCAGCTATGTTGTCCTAGATTGTTCACTTCTCTCCTCCTTCCCCAAACTCTTCACCCTTTTGTGAATAACCCGGGAGTGGTATGTTAATGTAGACATTCTATTGAAGGCAACAAAGAAAAATACATTAATTCTCTAAATCATGAGGAAAAGGGAATACATCTTCAGTATCTGTTCAGTGATTGCAAAGGTGACCATTACCAATAATCATTTGCAGGCTTATTCAGTAAGCTGTGCAAAACACAAAGGGGGGAATTTATCAAAACTGGAGCAGCTGTGCACAGCAACCAATCGGCTTCTCTCTTTAGTTTGTTCAGTTAAGATTTGAAAATAAAAGAGAGAAGCTGATTGGTTGCCATGCACAGCTGCTCCAGATTTTGCCTGCTCCAGTTTTGATAAATTCCCTTCAGAGTACACTAACCTATAACAATCAGGATTCTCTATACGTAAATCAAGCCAGTACATGATTGATTCTTTGGTTGCTATGGTTTGTGATTTGCCTGTTGATTAGGTGAACAAGCTAGCACATTGTATACATTTAATGAAATCTACATTTTATTTGAATATAGCCAAGTAAGGGGTAATATACATTGTGTTCTTATTGAAGTGTGCATAAAACAAGGCTAAATAATGTGCATGTTTTCCTGGTTTCCTCACCTCTGCTTTATCAATCTAACCGTGCTGTTTCCTTCAGCTGCCTGCGTTCCTGGTTCCAGAGGCAGCAGACATGTCCTACATGCCGTATGGATGTTCTCAGAGCTTCCCTTCCTGCTCAGACAGCGGCACCTGCTGACCAGCCCGATCCTGCTCAGCAGCCACATGCTGCTCCTGCACAACAAACTCCAATCATTCCTCCACAACCCAACTGTAAGTCAAACCACATGCCCCTGGACAATCTCCTTTCCTGTTTTAGGCTGATTTGCCATTTTGTATATGTTCAGTATAATGAACTATTGCTAAACAGTCACTGTGTTTTCTCTGTTTGACTTTATTTTCCATGTAGTTCCTCCTGGGATGCTCCCTCCTTTTCCACCTAACATGTTTCCTCTTTGGCCACCACTGGGTCCTTTTCCACCAGTTCCTGGAGCTCCTGGAGCCAATGCCCCTGAAGAAGCAGCACATGCAGGATCTTCCACCGGTAATCTACTGCCTTTGTTTTCTCTGCTATAAAAAATCTTAATGTATACAAGGGAATTCTCCAAAAAGAACTTGGAAGCCCTCTTTGCTAGGGGGCTTAAGCCATTTGGTGGGGTCCTCTCCACCTAAGACCCTCACAAAAATATTATTGCTTGCAGCTTTGAGGAACTCACAGTAACTGAGGTATGTGAGATGAATGGCATGCTGTGGTGTGGATACCAATTAATAGGTCGGGCCTGTGTCAGACCATTAGAAAGCCAAACCACTCAAAATAACTTTTGTCTTCTTGAAGCTACTCTGAACAGTAGGAATTGTGCTGCTGGATGATGTGCATTGTGCTTGGCTGAGATTTACATCCTCCTCCTTCCTTTGAGCGGGATTTTGTCTGTAATAAGAGGATGCAGAATGACAGTGGAGGAAGTCCCTGCATGGGCTCTGTGCAGGCCAAGAAGTAGCACTCGGCAGTATTTTGGCAAACATGTGGTGCCCAATTGCATTAAAGTTTTGGCAGTACACACTCTCTGGTCTGAGCACAAAGACAATCCTAGAATAATCCACTTTGAATGACCAAAGTCTGTATGTTCTGATGGCCTCAGTCGAATTCCCACCTCCACCCTATTGCTTCTTTGTATCAATTATTAATTTCTTTAACGCCTAGTAATTGGTCATCTTCTGTTTCACAGCATCTGCCGCCAGACCTAGTGAAGGTGCAACTGCAGGTGGCTCTGATTCATCTGCTGGGACATCTATGCCAGGGTTTCCTTTTCCTCCTCCATTTTTGGGAATGCCCATTTTCCCACCATTTGGTAAGTTGCCATGTCCAGCATGTTTTGCGCATTCATACACAAGGCGGCTAGTAATCTGCTAGTAATGATGCTTTCTGTTTGTGTCCTAGGACTTCCACCAATGCCGATGCCTCCTGCAGGCTTTGCAGGTTTAACAGATGAGGAGCTGAGGGCAATGGAGGGTCATGAAAGACAGAACCTGGAAGCCAGGCTGCAGTGTCTGCAAAATATCCATACCCTTCTAGATGCTGCAATGCTACAGATTAATCAATATCTTGCAGTGTTGGCAAACATTGGGTGAGCACTGGGAAGTTTGTCTTCTAATTAAAATATTAGTAATTGCTAAAAGTAGAGTAAGCCTCAGTGTACTTTACCACATGTGATGTGAACATAGTACAGTATGTAGACAGAATCAAGTGTGAAAATGATCAAAGTGTGACTAAATGCAGTGTACAATTTTCAGTGTGCAGTTTCTAGAGCAACTTCCCTTTTTGTAAAGGCATTTTTCACTTTAAAACTAAGCCCCCATCTAATTCCTGTGGAGCTGTGATTTCATATTTCATTCCATCAGCAGCTTCTGGTGGAACTAGATAGCGGAGTTCCTTCAGTCTGTTATAAATATCTTCTTAGGCTGGCCATACACTACCTAACACATGATTTCCCCAACCATGCAAGTAGCATGGATGGAGGAATTGATCCAGAGGGGCCACACACTGCTCGAGTTTCAAGTAGTAATGAGCGAGGATCAGGATGACTACCATGGAGCCTTCACCTTTAGAAACAAGTGAGCAGTGGCAGCTCCCACATTTCTGTCCTCACAGGTTCACCTTTAAAGAGGGCCTGTACTGTGGAAACAGTGCCAAAAAAAGGCAAGCAAAGGGCCAAGAACTAGTTGCCAGTATTGACAGTAGGCTCCCTTTTAGCTAATCTTCTCCCCATTACTGATTAACCATGCTTTGTTCTACATGGGTCTCTGTGTGGAGGCAGTCATCTTGCTAGTGGCGTCACAAGATGGGTGCGGCCCCATCAGAGGGGGTGACACCAAAATGACTCGCAATCATTTTGATGTCGCCCCCTCTGAAAATTCGGGCACTCTGTCCGACTTCTGTACAAGTGAGGAGGGGACGTATGTGACGACATCGCATGTATGTGACGACATCGCACGTATGTGACGACATCACGTACACGTGTATTGACATCACACGTCTAGCAGTCAGAGAGAGCCGTACCTTAGATTATGTTGCATTGCAGTTGTCCTGCAGCCTAACAGCTGAACAGGAGTGCCTAGGTGCAGTCACTTATCAGCAAGTGCATTGCTATTTTTCGGTAGCAAACGTTGATATTTTTTTCAGGGTACTGCTTAGAAAAAACAAACCTTTCTAATCCCTATAAGATAGAAAACCTTTACTTTTTAAATATAGGTCCTCTTTTTAAATTTCCAAGGATTGTGACAGGTTAAATTTTCAAGAAATATGCATTGTTTAATTGATATATTTGGTTCGCTCTTTGTAATGGGATTTATTTCCTCTGAACAGCCCCCCTCGTCCTCCAGTCCCTTCTACGCAGTCCCCACCAGTACCCACAGACACTGCTTCCTCTAATCTCACAGAAGAAACTCCTTCAGATGTCCCATCAGAGGTGACCAATGTTGGGCCATTTCAAGATACAGGTATATTTCATTTGAGGTATTACCCATTTACTTTGGAATGCTTCTGAAGTTTATGATAAACATCATAAATGGTGCTTTTTGCAGATACCCCTGAATCTGTCAGCGAAGAGATAACGAATGGCGCCGAAGGTGGCTCAACGATAGAAGAACCAGATGCAGCAGAATTGCGCCGACGTAGACTTCAGAAATTAGGAACTGGTTCCCCGGAATCTCACTGAAGCTTCACCCCCGACCTGAACTGCACACACCGTTATGTGTTCACAGGGAACATGGAGCTTTTACTGGACTCAAATAAAAGCCTGACATAAGTTAAGCTGGACTTCTATAAATATATATATTTTTTAAGGACACGTTAGGTTCTCTTCAGGCAAATGCTTGCTGAATGAGGAGAGTTTGTTGACCTCATTAACTGCGTTGGACTTGTTGCAGCAAAATTAAACATTGGACTTGGTCTGTTTTAGTTGATGGAATATAATTTGAATTGCAAGAGTTATTTTATCAATGAGCACATTTCTATTGACATTTCATAAACAAAAAAGTTACATTGAAAATGCACATCAAGAATGTATTTTTAGGAGCACAGTATATACATATGTCAACATGGAAAGACTTTATCTTTGTGACCTGAGTTGACAGGCAATGGACAGTTATACATGACATGAATGATCGTAGATTCAATAATAAATTGGTGACATTGCAGTAATGTATTGGAACGCAAACTTTTCTAGTCGTATGACCTTATTCAATGAAGAATGTTTTAAAATTTTAGACCTTACCTGGGTCTAGTGACACTCAAGTTCTGTGTGAAGTAGAGGCACCTATTTCAAGCCTCTCCCTGAGCACCCGATCAAGTTCTTCTGCCTAACACAAAGCTTGTCCCTGGCCACCCTTAGAAGAATAACAGAAGCAGTGCACCGTGAGCCTTTTCCAGTTCACAGCTGAGTTTTGTAGAAAATCTGTACTGATAAATGCAGGGACTGCTACTGCTTACCTCCATTCCAGAATACTAGTTGACTGGCTTTCTGTCTTCAATACTTTGAATAACTGGCCCAGAACAAGCATACAGATTAAAAGAGGGAAGTTAGTGCCTCGGAAAGTATCAAAATGACTTTGCCACAACTAGCATTTTCAGAAAAAGTGGTCAATGGCAGCCTCCATATTCTCTTAATAGAGATACTTTTAAGTGTGGAGGAAGGGGGGCAACAACGAGGATTGCTTTTAATTGTAATGACTCACAATTTACTTTGCTGACATATCAGTAAATTCTGCATTTTAAGTGACTGCTATGGGTTTCCACCCTTCATTGAATAAGGCCATTACAGTTTATTAGTGCAGTGCTCTTAGGGTGAGATTAAAGCAGAACTCCAGGCATATATCTAAATACCTGATAAAGGATTTGTAATTATGTTCAGTTGGTGTTCTCTTTCACACCCCTATCACACTACCTAGCCCAGTGGGTCTCACAGAGTGAGTATGTGCCTTTAACTGGTCCTTGGGGCACTTTTCATCCCTCTGACGCAATGATGGGGCATAATTCACCACACTGACAATGGGGCATAATTCACCACACTGACAATGGGGCATTGTTCCATCTTTCACTGACCACAGGTTCTACGTACGTTTTACTGAACACTGACAGGGTTATTCACAAAGGGGAGAAAAGGGTTTGGCGAAGTGAACAATCTAGGCCAAAATACCTGATTTGGAAAAATTCTCCACTTTCCCATTCAGCCATGTTGTCCTAGATCAGGGGTAGGCAACCTTGGCACCCCAGCTGTGGTAAAACTACAAATCCCATAATGCATCTGCCTGTGGGGAGTCATGCCTGTGGCTGACAGTCTTGCAGTGCCTCGTGGGACTTGTATTTCCACAACAGCTGGAGTGCCGAGGTTGCCTATCCCTGTCCTAGATTGTGCCTTCTCCAAACTCTTCATCTTTTCGTGAATAACCCTGTGATGGATAGTGTGTTCTCCCCAACACCTGGGCCTGTTCTACTTCCACTGGCCACTCATCCCCCCCCAAACTCTGATTGGCATAGTTGACCCTTTGTTTAGACAGTTTGAGTGATACAACTGTTTCTTCAATTATTTCAGTTTGGCAGCTTTCTGTATCACATACCTCCTCTCTGAATAATGAACCAGTGTCATTCCACTGTGTTGCAGAAGTGTTTGAATAATGTGTGTATGTTTGTAGTGCAGATACTGTTACAAGTCTCCCTAAGTTGTCTGGTCATGAACAGATAAGAAACCCATAACTGCATCAGTATTCACAGTAGAGCTCCTGGTACTAAGGTAGTTGTGGTCAATAGGCTCAATTCTCAACACACCAGACTTAGGATCCTTATTATAAAATAAGTGACCTTGTTTGTGAATGAGATTTAAAATTAAAGTCTCAAGGGTTTTAGAAAGCTTGAGAACAAGGGTCCCACTCTGCTGCATGCTGACAAGGGACAGGTTTTTTTTCTCAGGCTGTGGCTGCCTCCTAAAGAAAACAATCTGTATGACTTTGTACACCTATTTTTGATGCATCTGGAATGTGCAGAACTAGACAAATTTGTTTGTATACTTCCACAAAAAAAGCAGAACTCATCAATTTCTCTGTAATTACTTGAAACTGACCAAAGCAACTGGATTCTATCCTTGTTTATTACATATTTAGTAAAACTTAAAGCTTGCTTTTTGATTCAACAGAATAGTTTAAATAATAAAATAAAAATGGAATGGATAAAAATGATGAGACCTTTGCTTCTAAATATGGTCTAACAAAATATTTGAGTAATCGCTGTAAACAAGTGATTGCTGTAACTTTCTATGAGACTTCTGCACCTGCCAACAGGTAGTTTGGCCTACTTTTATTGGGCAAACGGCTCCAGCTGTTTCAGGTATGAATGGTGCCTTTCCATTTTTAAGCACCGCAGATGTTTGAAAGGATTCAAATCAGGACTCCTAGAAGGCAACTTTAGAATGGTCCAGGGCTAGGGAACCTCGGCACTCTAGATGTGGTGAACTACAAACCCTATGAGGCATTGCAAGACTCTGACAGCCATAGGCATGATTACTTAAGGCAGAGCCATGATGGGATATCATAGAATTTCACCACAGCTGGAGTACTAAGGATCCCTACTCCCGGAGTAGTGCAGTATTTTGTTAGCTGTTTATGCTATGCGTTTAGTCTTTATCCAGTTGGAGGACCTGTGACTGAGGCAGAGTCTTCTAACAATTCCTTGACTGTCTTCAGAGTTCATTGTGTCCTTCACAGATTCATGTTATCCTGTGCTAGACACAGCAAAGTAGCCCCAAAACATAACCAAGCCTCCTCCATGCTTCACTGTAGGTACACAGTGTTCTTTTCTTTGAAAGTTTTAATTTTTTTTTGTCTGTAAACGTAATGCTGATGTGACGTGCCCAAAAGCTCCAGTCTTTGTTTCATCTATCCAAAGGACATTCACCCAGAAGCATTGTGGCTGGTCAATATGCATTTTAGGAAATCCCAGCCCGGCTTTTTTTTATGTTTTTTTTCTTTCAAGAACAAAGCCTTCCTTTGTGCCCACTGTCACTCAAAAAGTGACAGATGGTCTAACCAGAAAATGGTGTACCTTGACCTTGGAGTTCAGCTTGTATCACTTTGTAAGTTTTCCTTGTTTTTTTTTGCCTACCATCCACACTATCCTTTTGTTCAATCTAGGGTTGAATTTTTGTTTCCACTTGTGGCCATATCCAGGGAGGTTGGCTACACTCCTGTGGACCTTTTATATTACTTAATAATATTTGCGATTGTAGTCACAGGAACATAGACTGCTTGGAGATTGGCGTATAGCCTTTACCTTTTTGACATGCTGGTCTATAATTTTCTTTTATCTCCTCGGACAACTCTGGTTTACTTTCTCTGACTGGGGAACCAACAAATCTGTCCAGTTCATTTTAGAATATCTGTGTAGAATAAGCAACAATTAACCTTTCTTTTTTTTTTTTTTTTTACTAGGGATGCACCGATACCAGTTTTACGTTTTTGAGTACTGATTTTTTTTTTTTCGGTACTCGCCGATATCGAGTTCTTTTACCAGCATCCTGAGGTAGCGTAGGTAATCAAGAAGCTGGCTTCACGCTCCCTCGCGACACTGCAGGGCAGCCTGGCTTCCTGATCAATCAGGAAGCCGGGCACCACTGCCCCGCAGTGTAAAGCCAGCTTCCTAATTGGCTGGGAAGCTGGCTTTTTGCTCCCTCGCGGCATTGCTGGTCAAAGGGATTCCCTCTGACCATAAGTTCCAGTATCCGGGTAAGTATCAGAGCATTTGGGCGAGTATGATTCCTTGTCCAAATGTTCAGTATTGGCACCAATATCGGTATCGGTGCATCCCTACTTTTCACACTTTCTTTGGATTACTCAATGACATACCAAAGACATGCATGTATACATGGGACATTTGCTTTTCAGGAGTAATGAAGCAATGTTTCAATGAGATACAAGTGCTCCAACAAACTTGTCATGGTCTGTATTAAGCTGATTTTACTGTAAACTTCAATTGAACTTTAACCTTGCATAGATAGGTCATTAACACATATACCACAAATATCCATTCTGTAAGAGAACAATAAAGATTTGATTTGCCAGAAGCCTGTGATTGCAATCCTGTATCAGAAATATACAGGATACACAAAGTGTTTGCTTGCACAGTTTGATAGATAATGTGTAATGTATTCCAGTGAACAGAAAAAACCCATGGACACTACTGGCAGTACTGTGCCAACCACTGGTTCTGCTCATCTTTGAATAATTACAAAGTCCTTTCACATAGGACATCCAAATTATAGGCAGGTCCTCACAAGCATATGTAAATGATGCCCTCAGGATGTCCCATCCAATTAATCTAAAGTGTTCACAGACCTTCTCATGTATTTGTATCAGAACTCCGACTCAGCGATCTTGGAAGCCAGAATAAAAGCAAAATTGAAATAGGCTGGGTTCACACCAGCTGCACGCTAAAATGTGACATGTAGCTGCTAGGTGGCAGAGGTGTGTAGGTGTAGCAGTGTCTTACGTTATTTAATATTATTGCTTATTCTACAAAGATATTCTAAAATGGCCCGGACAGATTTGTTGGCACACCTAGAAAAGCCTATAAATAATTGGATCATGGAGATATTTCAGACTGTTTTTGTAATTAGTATTACATAGGTCTTCAATCTTGTAATCAGCCTATTAAATTATGAAAAGTAGTCACTCTACCTGAGAAGGCAAAGGAGAGAGTACAGTACATAATATCATCAAAAGATTGAGAGAATCTGGAGAAATCTCTGTGTGCAAGGGACAAGGCTGAAACACAATATGGATGCCGTGATCTTCGGGCCCTCAGACGGCACTGCATTAAAAACAGGCATGATTCTGTGATGGACATTACTGCATGGGCTCAGGAATACTTCCAAAAATCACTGTTGACACAGCTCACCGGGCCATCCAAAAATGCCAGTTAAAGCTCTATCATGCAAAAAAAGAAGCCATATCTGAACATGACCCAGAAATGCCTCCCTCTTCTCTGGGCCAAAGAAGCTAATTTAAAAAGGTCTGTTGCAAAGTGGAAAACCGTACTGTGGTCAGACGAATCGAAATTTGACCCTTTTTTTGGCAACCGTGGGCTCCGTGTCCTAGAGACTAAAGAGGAGAGGGACCTTCCGACGTGCAAAAGCCTACATCTCCTACAAGCCTACATGTATTCTTACATTCAGACAATGTCTTTTTTTTTAGGGAAGGCCTTGCATATTTCAGCAGGACAATGCTAATCTGCATACTGCATCGATGACAATCGCAAGGCTTCGTAGTAGAAGAGTCCGGGTGCTTAGCTGGCCTGCCTGCAGTCCAGCATCTTGAAACAAAAAATACGACAAAGACCCAGAACTGTTGGGCAGTTAGAATCTTATATCAGGCAAGAATAGAAGAATTGTCCTCTCCCAAAACTCCAGCAACGGGTCTCAGTTCCCAGATGTTTAGAGTGTTATTAAAAGTAGAGGGTAGGGTGCAAAGTGGTAAACATGGCCCTGTCCCAACGTTTTTTTTAAATATGTTGCTGCCATCAATCTCAAAATTACTTTCTTTCTTTCTTAAAATGGTAACTTTTCTCATTTTAAACATTTGATATGTTTTCTATTGTGAATAAAATATGGGTGTATAAGATTTGCATTGTTTTTATGTAGATTTTACACAGCATACCGACTCTTTCAGAATTGGAGTTGTATAGTCTCAGATTAAAAAAGTAAAGCTTTCAAAGAAAAGAACACTGTACCTACTGTGAAACATGGAGGAGGCTCAGTTATATTTAGGTGCTGTTCTGCTGTATCTGGCACAGGGTGATTTCAATCTGTGCAGTGCACAATAAAAACTCAAGACTATCAAGGCATTCTGGAGAGAAACACACTGCCCAATATCAGAAAGCTTTGCCTCTGTTGCAGGTACAGGGTCCTTCAGCAGGATAGTAACCCAAAAGCACACAGCTAAAAGCACCCAAGAATTACTAAGAACACAACACTGGACTATTCTGAAGTGGCCTTCTATGAGCCCTAATCTGAATCCTATCGAACATCTATGGAAAGAGCTGACACATGCATTCTGGAGAAGGCACCCTTTAAACCCGAAACAGCTAAGAGCAGGCTGCTCAAGAAGAGTGGCCCAAACTACCTGTTGGCAGGTGGAGAAGTTTAATTAAGAGCTACAAAAATTGCTTGTTTGCAGCGGCTGCCTATAAAGGTTGTGCAATAAAATATTAGATTAAGCATCCCATTGTTTTTGACCATACAATTTGTTTTATTATTTAAAATATTCTTTGGAATCAAAAAATTAAAGCAAAGTCTCATTATTATTAAATATGGAATAAACAATGATGATTCCTATTACTTTGATCAGCTTTAGGTAATTTCAAAGCCAGTAGGCTCTGTAAATGTTTAAATCAACCTTACAGTGTCAGGGCCACTCACAATTTAGAAGGAACTGGCCACAATGTGAGCCATCTATGGCCAGCATTGATGACCACAACAATCTTTTTTATGAGTGCAATGTGTAACAAAAAATCTTGAAGGGTGAATAATCGTCTTCCGATTCCTTATATAGTGTGATTGTGTGTAAGTGATCTTTCAAGTGTCACACATACACCCCCTAGGCAGTGCACACTCACCGCATATAAGTAAGTGCAGTAAGTTTTAAACGTTTATTGGTAAAAAACATACATAAAAACTCACATTTAAAAGCGGAATAGCCGGTATCTCATGAGCCTCAGTGCTCACTTCCTCATTCAACGTGATGCTGTGACGTCAGATAGCCCCCCCACCACGCGTTTCGTCACACAGGACGTTGTCAAGGGAATAGCAGGTCGACGAAACATGTCGTGTCCCCATAAGGGAGATTCACCCTCTCTATTTATCCTGGTGACCGTTATCACTGAAGGTGAAAGAAAATCCCACATTTTGGGCATTCATCAGAAAAGGAATAGATGGGAAAACTCAGATAGGGACAGTAGGTCATGTGACCCTGCTGACCACCAAGGATTTCACTCACTTTGGAGGGATTTCCTCTCACTTCCTTTTGTGGCTATAACACAGGAAGTAATGGGAAATCTCCCCAATGAGATATATACGCAAAAAAAGCTGGCATGCTTCATAACACTCCCTAAAGCTGGCCATAGACCTATAGATTTTCTATGGTCAGATGGAAAAAGTGCCACCGATTCCTACATTGGATGCAGGCCTTGTTCAGGTATTTTGAGAGCCTGCGGGGCCAACTAGCAAGATACTGAAGCCTGGCCCAGCGGGAGATTCCTCCACCTGCACAGTTTAGCGTAGATGGAGGAGTCTTGCACTTTTTCCATCTGACCATAGAAAATCTGCAGATAATCTATAGGTGCATGGCCAGCTTTACTCTATCCAAAACTAAAAAAGGTTTTGGCTTCAGTTCTACTTTATGATCCCTAAAAAAATGTTGGCGCTTACTGACGCTTTGAGACCGGTTAACACTTTGCGCTTTGAGTTACTTTGCTAACGCAGTATGTTTGCAGCTGAAAATGATGCAAGAGCTACTTTGCTGCACGTTAGCCCATTTGATGGGCTGCCACACGCATGACAAATGTGGCAAAGTAGCTCATGCAGCATTTTCAGCTGCAAACATGCTGTGTTTTACTAGCCATGTTTGAGGTGTCACTGACATGTAATGGCATCTCAAGCGCATCACACGTTTTTGATGCTTACCGTGAACACGCCTCAAAGCACACGCTTTGTTATGTATATCCCATTGCAATCCTGACTGTGAAAAACGAATCAGCGCCGGGTGCTGCAGTGATAAGAGGATAGCGCCGCATTAGGAGCAATGAAAAGAAGCATCACTGGCACATCAACAGTGAAGCAATACGTCTTTTATTGAAGCATGTTCACAATATCGCAAAGCAAACAACGTTTCGGGGCCGCATTCGATCAGTTTGCCTGATGAAGGGACCCCATGTGAGGCTGAAACTCCGTTTGCTTTGTAATATTGTGAACAAGCATCAATAAAAGGCGTATTGCTTCACTGTTGGGGTGTCTGTGATTCTTCTTTCCAAAGCACACACTTTGGTTCATGCAATGCAAAGATGTGAAACCAGTCGGGATGCACCAATACGAGTATCGGTACAGAGTATTTGGGTGGGTACTCGTACTCGCCCAAATGCTCCGATGCCTAGCCTGATACTTGAGCTTCCGGTATCAGGAAGCTGGGCAGTGAGTCATTACACGTTGCCTGGCTGGCTCCATGCTCATTCGTCACCTGTGACAAGGGAGCATGGAGCCAGCTTCCCTGCCAATCAGGAACCCAGGCAGCATGTAATGACTCACTGCCCTGGCTTCCTGATTGGTTGGGAAGCCGGATGGCAAGTTATTGCACACACCCGGCTTTCTGATTGGCCAGAAAGCCGACTTCATGCTCCCTCATCACCTGGTGACGAGGGAGCATGGAGCCAGCTTCCCAACCAACGTGTCATTACACGGCGCCCGGCTTCCTGATTGGCCAGAAAGCCAGCTCCATGCTTTCTCGCCACCTGGTGACGAGGAAGCATGGAGTCGGCTTCCTTGCTAATTGGGAAGCCGGGTGGCAAGTCTTCACACAACGCCTGGCTTCCTTAATGGGACTTCAAGTATTGGTATTCAGTATCGGCGAGTACAGAAAAAAAATATCGGTACTCGATACCGAAAAACCGGTACCGGTGCATTCCTAGAACCCAGACTAACTAAGCCCATAGAGGATGGTGTTTTTCCATTTTGCCCTCATTTACACCCGAGCGACATTGAATATCCGCATTGTCAGCGTGTTTTGTGCACAGCACGCTCAGACATAAAGTTGCCCTTTTTTACGAGCAGCTTGTGATGTGAATTGACAAACGTACATAAAAACGTGCAAGAATGCAGTTAAAGCGCAATTCTATTGCAGTCTATAGGGCCAAGTAGCACAGAATATGCCAAAATCAGGCTTATGTACTTTCTTCAAGTGACGGGCATTTTTCTACAAGCTACAAAACACTCAGATGTGAACATGGCCATAAAAAATGAAAGAAGGAAATGCTTTCAGAAAAATAAAATAAAAGCAAAGATGACAGCAAAATTACATCTACTGTGCACTGCATAGCCCTGAAAAAGCAAAATAAATGCAGTACATGAATACAGACTGAAGGGTGAACCCCCCAGAACACCGGATTATAGAGAGCAGTGTGTCCATGAGGGGATCCTATATAGGCTGATCTAAAAAACACACGTTTTCCTATTGGGAGAATGAAGAAAAGACCCCTCCTCTCAGCCTCCATCCCCACTACACCGGGTCTCTGACACACGGCGCCGACATATGACGTAGAGGGACAAGATGGCGGCGCCGAGGAGTTTTTCGTCGGGAGGCTCTGCAGGTTTCATTCCGCAGTGTTTATTATGGGATATGTGTGGGTCCGGGTCGCCGTGTTGCTGGGTCTCAGATGTTCTGTGGGCCGAGCCGGGTGATGGGTTGTAGGAGCAGATGACGAGGGTCATGTGACATCTCCTTATGTGTAGGGAGCCCAATAAGGGGTAGAGTACGCTGCACACACAGCTCTCTATACTGGCTGTATAGGACTGCGCCATGGCCGGCCGTCTCTGTGCATACAACTAAAGCTGAATTCTGGGAAGATTAAAAAAATATACCCTCGCAGTGGGGTTACCCTGCAGTGCAAGGGTTCAATCAGGAGTAGGCAACCTCGGAACTAATTATATTGTTGTACTACAAGTTCCATGAGGCATTGCAAGACTTCTGACAGCCACAGGCTTGACTCCCGCAGACAGATGCATGATGGTCTTTGTAGGTACACCACAGCTAGAGAGCCAAAGGTGCCTATCTAGGTTGAATGGTTGTTTTTTTGTCCAGTGTGCCAGGAAAATTGACTTTTATGTATCTAATTCCTCACTGTGGCAAGCGCCCTCCACATTGTGCAACCGGTTCCTGAAGCCTCTTCTTTAAGGCGTTCCCATCTAGTGGTCATACACTGGCATCATTAAGTACAATGCAGGGTCTATAGCCCTGCATTATAGGTGAGGATGCCAAGGGACCACTCACAACCTCGAGCGTCAGGGAGAAGAGTTGAGTGTCAGTGTTCTATCGAAATGGCCAACTCGTAAAGATTGCCAACTCGTAACGTCGCATCCGTTGGAGATTTTGCCGAGATGTCGCTAGTGTGCCAGCCCTGGCATGTTTACTAGCCTCGTTGATCTCCCCAATTGCCGTAAGTGCGCCTGTGCGGCCTCGCAATCCTCATCGAGTTCTCCAACTGGCATCAGTGGTTGTGCCCACGCAGGTGCACTATCGCAAATTTGAGAACATGATACTGCTCAGGCGCACTGACGGCAGTTGGACATCTCGATAGAACATCGGCTCCAAGGGAAGTGAGGGATAAGGTAAGTAAAGTTCTTTTTAGTGGTACCCTAGGTAAAATTAGTATTTAACCCTTGCAGTGCAGGGGGAACCCCACTACAAGGGTATTTATTTCTTCTCCTTGGAGTCTAAAGCTAACCTTCCATAATAATGTTATGTCTGCTCATTAACCAGCTCTCTTCCCACAAAAAAAATAACATTCGGTTAAAAAAAGTAAAGAATTTAAAAACACTTAGTTAACACCCGGGGTTTAGGCGCATTCATGGAGGCAGTAAGTATGTCTGTAACAAGTATGCAGGAAGTAAGGTCAGAACTCATAACCTACTTGTTACAGACTAATGATCCAAAATGCATTGAAACCAATGGATCAGCATAAGTCACACAACTAGAGATAAAGATCAGCAGCCCCCATAGTTATCTCATGTTAGGTTTACTTGTTGCTGGTATCTCATGTTCTGAGAAAACCGATTGCTGAGACATTGCAATTGCAGTCTCAGCCACAGTAAGCTCCTTTGTTTATGTCACACAGTGACATAAAGGAGTTGTGCATCCTGAGAATATGAAACCACGCAGATATAGATGTGAAGAGCGTTCTTGCATAAGGAAGCATTGGTTTATGTAAAGACTACCTTGTACCAATCTAAAAATATAAAGTTATAATGACTAATAGCAGGCTCTGGAAGGTTCTCAGCATAACATCCTATGTGTACCTGTGGTGTCTTTTAACCTTGGTGTATTCTCAAATTAAGATGCAGTTTAGGTCACACCTCTGGCTTGCCTCCCAGGGATCTGAACCATTACAGTACAGGAACATTGGCAGCTAATAGCTAGATGACTCTTTTGCCTAGTGGGATCTCAAGGGGCTTTGCTGACCAAGCTAAAAGGCCAGGATAATGTACAGCATGTTCCTTGGGATCCCAAGAGGTCTTGCTGACCAAGCTGAAGGCCAGGATAATGTACAGCACGTTCCTTGGGATCCCAAGAGGTTTTGCTCACCAAGCTGAAGGCCAGGATAATGTACAGCATGTTCCTTGGGATCCCAAGAGGTCTTGCTGACCAAGCTGAAGGCCAGGATAATGTACAGCATGTTCCTTGGCATCCCAAGAGGTCTTGCTGACCAAGCTGAAGGCCAGGATAACGTACAGCATGTTCCTTGGGATCCCAAGAGGTCTTGCTGACCAAGCTGAAGGTGTACAGCATGTTCCTTGGGATCCCAAGAGGTCTTGCTGACCAAGCTGAAGGTCAGGATAATGTACAGCATGTTCCTTGGGATCCCAAGAGGTCTTGCTGACCAAGCTGAAGGCCAGGATAATGTACAGCATGTTCCTTGGGATCCCAAGAGGTCTTGCCGACCAAGCTGAAGGCCAGGATAACGTACAGCATGTTCCTTGGGATGCAAATGTTTAATAAATACACCCTTAAGTTTTACGGAAGTCAAATTTAAAAAAAGTTTATTATACTCCACATGATACACAGACTAACTGAAAGTGACTGAAAATGTTCTATGCTGTCCAGTTGTCTCTTACTGAGGATGGACAAGCATCTGCAGCCCTGGAGGTGGCTGTGAAAATTTAGCGTATTTTTCCATTTGCATACCACAGTGCCTAATAATGGAAATGCACAATATAAGTGTAAAGTTGTCGCCCTTTACCTCCAGGGAATTCCTCCGTGTCTGATTTCCTCACCATGGACTGCGATGTTCTGACCACGGAGGACTGTTCCGGTAGTGATGAGGAGGAGGAATCCTGTGTTGTGGAATGTAACATGCCTCCTGAGTTCAACACCTACTGGAAAACAGCTTTAGAGAAACCGTACAATTTCATTGCTTGGACTAAACTGGTAGCATATTCAGAACATCAGGTAAAGGCTTAATAGCTGCTTCTTCTCCTTTTTTTTTAATGCCGTCTCTTCCTTGTGTTGCCTTTGCATACCTTTTTGTCAGATTCTTTTCTGTTAATAATTTTTTACCACCAGGCTGTTGTTGACAGGGTATCATTAGCCATTTAATGTGGGCAAGCCTGTAATATTGGCTGTGATTTTAGCCTCCTGCAGTAAAGTTTTCTGAGGTTTGTGTTCCCCTTAGCAACCAGAAAGTAGTAAGTCCAGCTGCACTCCTCACAGCGCTCCCGGCCCAAGTACTTGTAGTGGTGCTCGCAGTGACAATCACGGGTGGCACCATGCAACAATCAGTGGAAAGCAGAATTCACCAGCACTCAGTAAATATCTTTAATGTCCATTTAATCGGACCAATCGTCAATTGTCATGTACAAAATAGCGACGTTTCAGGACCGCACAGGATCCCTTCATCAGGGCGACAATGTAACAAGGTTCGTTACATTGTCGTTTTTTTGTTACATTGTCGCCCTGATGAAGGGATCCTGTGCGGTCCCGAAACGTCGCTATTTTGTTCATGACGATTGGTCTGATTAAATGGACATTAAAGATATTTACTGAGTGCTGGTGATTTCTGCTTTCCTCTTAGCAACCAGTCATCTTCTCCCTGTCAGGGTGTAAGGACAGATTCAAGAACAACATCAAATGATTGCTCCGGGACTATGTAGATACTTATCTTCCAGGAATGTCAGAACACATTTAGTTGAAATTGGCTGGATGATTTTTGGAAATGTGGCTAAATAGTGTTTACTGCTTTATGCTTGCCAAAGTCTAGGCATAATCCAATGGTATCTAGAGGCATGGGTTTATTGGCCTGCGTGTATGGAGAAATTGTCTGTTAATCCCAGCTTCGTCCCTGATTCATCATTAGCACTGGTTTATTTTATTCAGACTTGTATTGTGTGCACTCCTAATTCTCTTAGTTGTCATTACACATTTGGACTAACATTTTGCTTGCTCTAAAGTGCATATGTAGTTGTCAGTGTCGTTGTCTTTCATTTTCTTCCACAGAAAAACCTGGCGGCATGTAGGAAAGCTTATGATGCATTCCTCTCACGTTACCCTCTTTGTCACATCTACTGGAAGAAGTATGCCGACCTGGTGCAGCATCTTGGCAATGAACAAGAGGTGGAAAAGGTATTTGTGACTGGCATATTAAAACCGGGAAGTTTGTGCACCACAGAAATTTTAATGGAATAAGTAAACACAGATGTTAAATTATCTGTAGTAGCGTGTTAAGATTGCTTTGATATTGTGAGTCTTTATTTTGAATACAGGTTACATTCATTGATTAAATGGCAGCCAGGTTGATGGATGACAAACATTTGGCAGTAAGAAATATTGTTGGGGTTAGATTACTTCTCACTCTTCCCTCACACCATACCTGGGGAGTTTATACACCTAGCACAACAAACGGCATTTAAATGGGTTACCTGAGCTTAGTGCTAGACCACAGCCAGATGACCACCACTTAAACAAACCTACTAAACAAAAGGAAACACAAAGACACAACCTCCTAGCTCCACTTCTACTATTCAGTAAACAGGTGGACTGGCACAGTGGTCATACAAGCTGTGGGAACAGTATGAACATTGTTTTTGATGATTAGAAATGGAAGGAGTTCATGAGCTAGTGATGATTAGTGATGGGCTCGGGCGTGCCGAGCCCGCCAGGAAGCTGACAGCGCGCAGCGCCAATCACAGGTACTGAGACATGTTCCAGGTCCGCAGCTGCAGAGATCAGGAAATGTCTCAATGCCTGTGATTGGCGCTGTCAGCTTCCTGGCGGGCTCGGCACATGGAGCTGCGAACACGCCCGAGCTTAGCGCTAGTGAATGTGATGTCTCCTTACACAGGGAAAATCTTATGGAGAACAGGTAGATCTCTCACCTCCAGTCATCTTTGGTAAAAGATTTGGCCAAATGTGCGTGACCCGTGGCTGGCCAATAAAGAGCTTGATGAAAGCAAACAAAGCTTATCATTTAAAGCATTGCTTTAGTTTTTCAACACATAACTTTTCTTCTTTAACCCCTTCGTGACTGACGACGTACAGTGTACGTCGCCAGCATCGGGGCTGTTTAAACAGACTCCCGGCGACTTTTGCCGCCAGGAGTCTGTTTAAACTTGTAGAGCCGACTGTCGGCTTTACAACAGAAGCGATCCTGGCGACTTACCTGTCGCCAGATCGCTTCTGCGTCCC